CAAAGAAAGACAGAGAGAGAGAGAGAGAGACAAAAAGAGGAGGCACTGACCCGCCCACATGGTACATGGGCTCTATGGGTTCCCTGTAAATATTACAACACTTCTGCTGTTGCTGTTGCCGCTCGGGGAGGGAGTCAGTCGTCTGTTCATCTGTGTATCTGAAAGATGTTAACTTGAGCTCCTCGTCATTTGCATACTTAACACCTTTCTGGAAAATTTCATCGGGCCAAAGGCACGGCTCCACTTCAGTCACCCCACAACAGATCTCCACAGTTGGCAGAGGGGGGGGGGAGCGCAGATGGATGGAGGCTTTTGTGTAATTAGAAAATCATCAAGTTGCAGCAGTCGTGTGTTACTTTCAATTTCAATGCAGAGGAGAGGCCGCTCCTCTCCCATTCACAACTTCCCATTGCAATGCATGATTTGTATCTTTGTATCTGCGATACACTTACATCCTGGGGGTATGTCACTGGGGCATAGCAGCACTTTCTGATTCGAATAATGTCAGTTCACTTTCTGTTTCTGTTTTTTTTTTTTTTTATTCTATTTTTCTGGTTAAAAATCTGCACAGATTCGTTATCTTTTCTGCATACAGTTGGGGCATTTTCTAGAGTATCTAATGCTTCGGCCATATCCTTAAATTTCTTTGTTTGGCTTTCCTTTTGGGGCCGCACCTCTGCTGCTGGTGGAGCGCCTCCGCCTCTGCCATGACTTTGCATTGCACTTTGTGGCTATTACAATTATTGCCATGACCATGGCCATGGCTATTGTTATTGTTACTGTTATTGCTTTATTGTTGCAGTTTATTGCATTGTCGGGATTCGCCATTAGGAAAGATTTTGCCTCACTCTTTTTTTTCTTCTCCTTTTTGCATATCTATCTATCTATCCATCGGATGCTTAGATTTTCCTACCTCCTTTTGAATACCAAAAAATAAATCGATAAACTTTCACCCCGGCCACAGAGTGCTCCCATTAAAATGCCATTAAGCTCTTTTGATCGTTGAATATTTGCCAAAAAAATACAAAATAAAAAAAGCTAAAAGATATATTCATCCCATCATCATCATCATCATCGAACAATCAATAAGCAATTGCCGCACTAATTACACTGATTAATGTCTTATCGCATTTAAACTATCTCACAGACCTAAACAAACCCACAAAAAGGCGGAAAAACCGCCAACAAAATTTCACTTTCACAAGCAGCAGAAAAAAAACAAAGCAAAGCAGAAAGGTAAAGGTAAAGAGAGCTGGAAACAACAGGTGAAATCTGAAGAGCTTCCTGTATGGGTCAGCAGGTAAAGAAACGGTGGAAAAAAGTTCCCAAAAAAAAGAGACACCAAACGCCCGAAACCCAAGTAAAAATATAAATATTAAGAATAATTATATTCGAGTGGAGATCTTCTTCTGTTTCCCATTTCTCCCAAGCAACATTGATAAGATAGTGGAGAGAGAGAGAGAGAGAGACCCTTCCCATCCCATCTCCATGCCATTATGGGGCTTAATGTTGCTCAATTAAATTCATTGAGCTGCATAAGCACCTTGCAACCTTCCTACCTTCCACCCATCCAAACAACAACTCATAATTATGCAGATGTTGGCCATTTAGGGGGCTGTCTCTTCCACTGCTGATACTTGGGGGGGAGGGTATTGCATGTCAGTCCATGGCCCGAGGCCGAGTCCGAGGCCCAAGAGTCCACAAATCGCGTCTAATTAGTGACCCGCAAATGAAGAAATTTTTTGGACAAGAAAGAAACTTGAATACCTTTTTGTATTTTAGGGCAGAAGAGTGTATTGTATTCTTGTAGATTTATGGAACAAACAGAAGCTGCAGGTGATTCTCATTCAGTTCGAGTATATAGCACCTAAGTATCTTTAAAACTTTATCTTGAATGGTTACTGTTTAATTTCGAAAGTGTTCTTTGCGTGTACAACCTTCTGCTTTGCTTTGCCTTGTGGTAGAGGGTACCACCTTAGTCGCATTATTTACTACAGTAGCCCCCCCACTCCCCCCACTTATGTATTTATTTTGTTATAATAATTTACCCACAAGACATGCAACTTTGGTTGTGTCTTCTGGCTCTGGCTCTGGCCTTCAGGTTAGTGGACAGTTCTTTGAGCTTGTCTCTAATTTGTTGTTGTTTGATTTTAATGATGCGAAAGAAAGTCTTACACAAAAGCAGCAGCAGCAATCTGTCCGTAGCATATTTTCTAATGATGCATATGAATCTTTTCCTGCATATTTTGCTTTTGGCATGCAAATCTCAGGCCAGCAGCAGCCAGCGGCTGGTTGGTCAATAATCGAGTCGAGTCGAGGCTAATCAATCAATATATAGCCAGGCATCGAGGCACACTGACAGTACCGAGTAGCAGCTACCTGGCCAAGAGGGAGGCTCTGGGGAGGAGTTCGTGGATGGGATGATGGGTCATAAATATCGAAAATGCAGACACCTTAACAGCTTTTTTTTTTTTTGCTGCTTTGCTGTGTGCTGAAAGATGAGTGAAAATAATTAGTTATCGACGGCACCTGTGCAACAGTAGCTGCTCCACGCGTCCCTCCCGCTGCGCTCCCGTCCAATGTCCAATGAGTGATGAAAACTTTCGCCAAAATGATAGTCGGTCGAAGAACTCCTTGGATAGATGGATTCTGCAACGCTTTTCGGTGTCGTTTGATGGGGTTTTACAGGTGCCATGCCATAACTTTTGGGAATTGAGCGATTTGAGAGATTATTGCATGAACTTGAAAGGAATTGCCGTGTCCCAGAGATTAGTTCTGCTCTCTGCTCTTCCCATAGAGCACTTACTTTCTATTAAAGCCAACTTTAAGTCTGGCTTATTGCTGAAACTTTTACGAAAGCAGCAGCTACTGCTCTGAGGACAACTATCATCCACACACAGAGAGAGAAAGAGAAAGAGAGAGAGAGAGAGGCGAGAACCAAGATTGAGGACAGCGTGGAATGGGAATGGGCGACAATGAATTATTCTCTTGGCTTGCAATTTCGGTGCCTATTTGTCTGTCCGTCTCACGGTCTGTCTTTCGGTGTTTGGTGTTTGGGCAAAGTGTGTAAGTTTCATAGCCAGAGCCTAATGAAAAATGTGCTCGAAGAGCTCCTTAAACTCTAATTAAAGTTTCAGGTGTGTGTGTGTGTAGGTGCAGATGGTACACGAGAAACCCCCCCAAGTCCCCATCCCCCTTTCGAGTGTGTCGTTGTTGTTGTTGTTCTTCTTTCGCCCCACTGAATGGCTGAAAACGAGCCAAAATAGTTGGATAGGTTGGCTAATGCTATAAACTGTCTTCAGGCTGTGCCCATTCTGTCTCTTGGTCTCTCGGTCTCTCTGTTCTCCTTTCAAGTGGCTTCTTCTGCTGCTGCTGCTGCTGCTACTGCTACTGCTGCTGGCGTACAGCCAACGAGAGATCTTCTCTGAAGAGATCTGCGGCTAATTAGTTGCCACACTAAACGATTTTGAGGATTCCTAATGATTAATATAAATACGAGTACACCGGAGTACCGCAGTACCCGTACCACATTTATGCATTTCGTGAGCACAACTCCAACTCCGAACATAATTCCCACCCTCCCCAGAGACACAGCCGGAGGCCCCACAGTTCTCTCTGGCTTTGGGATTTTCTTGGCCATCTTCCGGTTAAAGCCATAAAAGAAGAAGTACTCTGCCTTGTTTTTTATGATTTACCTTGTGTTTTTTCGCACTTTTTTCCAACACCTTTCTTTCTGTCTTTCTGTCTTTCTGTCGTTCTGTCGCTGGCGTTCCACAGAAATGTACTTTTCTTTTAGAAGCATAATTCTTGATAATTTTTGTGTGATGTTTTTATGGATTGTCGTTAATTGAATTTGTGGCAAGGTAACGCCAGGCACCCGCTTTTTGTGGCAGCTGCTTTCTAATCAACATTGCTCCAATGATTTGCATTTTCAGCTGCTTAAAGCTCGGACTTTGATTCAGAGATTCAGCTTCTGGTTCAACTTCTGGTTATGCTGCTTGTTGCTTTAGTTTTAATTGTTTTTGCTTCAGCAGCGAGACAGACAGACAGACAGACAGAGAGAGAGAGAGAAAGAGAGACAGAGAGGAAGCAGCCTGCTGCTCTGCTTGAATAATTACGGCAGAGCCGAGGCATGTCATGGCAATTTGGTCAAGAATTAAAGCAGCAAATACTCTGCTCGTATACACAGTTCTATAATTTTCTGCCATTAGCTTCCAATGTAATTTTATGGCTTTATAATTGGTTTCTTTTTTGGTGAGTAGTTTTTCCCTGTGTTTGCATATGCATTCTGTGGGCTTTTCTTTGGGGTTTCGCTTGCACTTCAATTTGGTTTTCTTTTGCCGGCAATCGAACTGTTTTGATGGCTGGAAAGGTGTTTATGTATCCGATATATTCACCAAATGATAAATTTACATTTATTAAATTTTCTTTTATATTTTTGGGATTTAATCGATTCACCATTAGTTACCCGATACTAGTTATTAGATACTGCTGTCTACCTAAACTTTAGCTGCACAGTTTTAGAAGCATTGCAATTCCTTTACCCAAAAATAAAAAAGCAGCCTAATGGTATGCAATGAAAGTTGCACGATCAGAGATGAAAATTTAATTATGCCGCCCCAAAAGTATGCAACACACTTTCAGGCTACTCGCGTAGCATGTAGATATGATGTATATTACATGTAGATCTCGGTATGGGATTTCTCCCAATTTTAAGGCCCAATCCCAGATAGTAAATTATCTTTTCTAAGATTTTTTAAAATTTTATGTTCTTTCATTTATTTCATTCAAGGATAAATTATAAATAAGTTCTTCCATTCTGTCCATAAATATTCATTACAAATTATTTGTATAACAAACTTTCCGACTCTTAAAACTAATTAAATATTTATATCATACGATTAAAGAAAACACACGCTATGCTTCCTTCCCTTCCTTCCACAAAGAACTTTACACAGTTAGCGAATATCTTTTGTAAGTGAATTTTTAGTTTTTCTTTCTTTCTTTCTTTCGTTCGTTCGTTTTAGTTGGTATTTTGGCGAGACTCAATTGGCTCAGTCGGTATGGTATCTATATATAGTAGCTGCTTCTCCTGGCTTCATCCTTTACAATGGTTTTGTGTGTGTGTGTGTGTGTGAATGGAATGATCCCATCGATCGAATGATCCTTGGGGCAGGGCAGGGGCAGTGCTTCTCAATCGTTGGCCATGCAATACCCCGAGTAGGTCTGTATATTGTCCTCCAGGAAACTCTCTCCGGCTATGACTCCCGACTGCGTGTGGTGGCTGGGGCAGCGGTGTCCCTTGGGGCACTGGCACAGCGAATTGATGTTCACTTCGTCGAGGAACTCCTGCCGCTTCCGCACCGTGAAGAGCTTGCAGGGCTGCTTCCTCTGGCATCGAAGGCGCTGTGCAAAGAGAATGCGAATGGAATGCTTAGAAAATGTATTCTGGCATGGTGGGGGACTTTCTCTGGGACTTACCGTGAGGGGAGAGCAGGCAAAGAGGTAGCGATAGCCGGGACTGCCATCGCCTATGGGCTCCCGCTTCGTGAGGTACGTCACCGAGTTCCTGGGACACCGACAGTGGACCACCTGCTCGGTGACATTCGCCTCCGCCGCCGTGGTCAGTGTCCAAGTGTAGTCCCGAAAGTGTCTACGGAGAAAGTTGGAAATTAATATAGAGACTCGTGGCAATGGATGACGGCTTTGGACTCACTTGCACACGGGCAATTTGTGGACTGGCTGGCACATCTTGTAGTGGCGCGTCTTGTCCGCTATTGTGTGGCCATCCTCGACGCCCAGGCTGCTGGGGCAGCCACCAATGTAGCTGGTGGGTGCCTCCTTCAGGCCCCGATGGCCCGAGTGGCGCATGTGAGCGGATGCCCTGGGGTACTCGTTGTCCTCCAGCTCTGCGTAGGGCGACGAGGGCAGGGCATCGTTGTAGTCGGGCGACTGATCGATGTGATCCAGATCCTCCTCGTAGACGGCGCCCAGCTTCTGCATGAGCTTCTTCATGTGCAGACTCTCGAACTTCTTGTCCTGGAACTTGCCCATGAGCATCCGCTTCAGCTGCAGCATCTCCATGTCGTAGTAGCTCCTGTACTTGGCTGCCCCCCCATCCATGGAGGAGCCGGAGCCACCCACCTGGTGGCTGTGATGGTGCAGGATCACATTGTTGGGCAGCCGATTCGACTCTGGACAGCGGCACTGGCGCTCGATCCACGGCGTCTCGTACAGATCGATCTTGGAGCAGACGGCATTCGGTGCACAAATGGGTAAATCATCCTCAGAGTCCTGCAAAGGGATAAGGATTGTTTGTGTTAAAGATTGTTGACACTCACTCGGGATTTGGGAGTCATTGAATTTCCATATGAATGGGCGAATGAATAAAAGTAAACTACACTCTGAATGTGAATGTCCCCCCCGCCCAAAAGTTTCACTGTCAACAGAGTCCTTTCTGAGCCACAGCCGAGACTTGATTAACATAACTACAAGAAAGGTTTCAATCGCTCTGCGTCGGTTAGGCTCTGTTTTGTTTGCTATTCTTGAGGATGTTCGGCATTTCATTAATTGAATTCTCTCCCCAACGGCAGTCCGAAAAGTTCGTCTTGGTTGTTTGCTTAATCCCTCCCCGACCAATAAAAACTTATGTGTTGTGTGTCGTGTCCTGCATGGGCATGGACATTGACATAAAATCCAACTACCAAACTGTTGAGGAGAGGACAAGACACTCTTGAGCTGAGGTCCTTTTGCTGCTGCTACTCGTATCGTCATTCGATTTTATTGTAAGTGACTCTCGAACGACGGAGAAACGACAGGGAAACGACGGAGAAACGACAGGTTTCCCAAATGAAATTATCGAAAGCAATCAATTTTTTAAGTGGAACTCTGTCGCGCACCTTGCGGGGTTCTGCCCCCTCCCTCTCTCTCTCTCTCTCTCTCTCTCCCTCTGTGGCACATCCCTTTTCTTGAGGGTTTTTGTTTGGTTTCGATTTCATTTTCTTCGTCTGCTTTTTTGATTTTTATTCAAATTATTTTTCGGGGCTTCGATTCGGTATTTTTTGGAATCCCTAACTAACGATTCGGCTGAGTCGCGCACCTGCCGGCCTGCTACCTGAGAGCGTTCCGGGCTTAGGGTCAATCTATGGCTTTGGTTTCGTTTCTCCTGCTCCTACTCCTGCTGCTGCTGCCACTCCTGCTATGGCAAACCGGAAGTCCGGAAGTGATTTAGTGCAAGGCGGCGGCCCAACTGACGGAAGTAAGTGCGCACACATTGAAAAGGGATTAGCCGCGAGTCGTGGCAGTGGCAGGGGCAGTGGCAGGGGACACCGGAAGTAGGTTAAAGCCAGAAAGAAAACAGGTTCTGTTTCTCTGTCCCCTGACCTTTTACCCTTTTGCTCAATTGAGCAGCAGCTCTTTCTCTTTCTCACTCTCTGTCTGACTCTGTCTCTTCCGGAAGTAGTCTGCCTGCCTTCCTTGTTCCTGTTTCTGCTGCTGCTGCTGCTGATTCTCGCTCATCTCTTTATTAGTTTTATTTACTTCCTGAATTTGTTGTTCCGCTGCTGCTGCTGCGGCTGCTGCTTCCTTTTTCTCATTTGTTTTCTTTGGACTCCACTCCGCTGGGCTCTGGCTTTCCTCCTCCGATTCCCACGCATTTTTGACCTACTTTCAGGCACCTGCCTTTTGGGGCATGTCCTTCCTGCTGCACAAGTCCTTAACCCTTTCTTCTGTTTTATTCTGTTCTGTTCGGTTCTCCTGCCTTGGATTATTCATATTTCAAGCAGAAGCTTCTGCAGGCATTGCTGAGATTCCTTTAAGGGAGGATCTACCCCCAGGATATGGCAGGATATGCCCCCTTGCTCTCTCTCTCTCTCTCTCTCTCTCTCTCTGTCTCTCCCCCCCTTAAGCAGCGTGAGAAATTCTTTGAAATTCGAGCATGTTTATTGAGATTTCTCGAGAGAAGGAGGAAGGGCTCTTCTGGGTCTCTTGGTATCTGCGTCGGGGTGTAGGGGAAATGGCACTTCAAAGACACAACACAACAACACACATCACCGTTATACTTTTTTACATAATGATAAACAGCAGAGAAAAGAGAGAGGGGGAGAGAGAGAGAGAGAAATGCTTCATCGACATTCCATTGGCATTCGCTCATGAGATGTAGAGGTGGGGCATGCCATGGATTAGAGCAGGGGCACAGATACACAGATACAGATACACAGACAAACAACAGAATGAAGCACGAAAGTTTCTACAGAACAACAAGAAGAAGAAGAAGCTCTCAAAAGTAGTAAAAGTTTTGCCCAAGCAAAAAGCCAAAAGAAAACAAAAGACAGAAAGGCAGCATGGCAGCGAGGGGAGAGCCACCGGATTTCCGGTTTAACAGCTCCCCGAAAAAAAAAGAAACAAGCAAAGGGAGAGGAGTCAGCGGAAAGGGGGCAGAGTAGAAGGAGGGGGGCAGAGGAGCTGCTGCCACACTTTATAATTTGCTCGATCTCCATCCACAGCACGCGTGTGGGGCAAAGACACACACAGAACACACACACACACACAGCGAAAGGAGACAACAATTAGCTTCATGTGTCAAAGTGCAGTGCAAACGGAAGTTGAGAACGCGCCACAAACAATGAAAGAGTTGCCGTTGCCTTCTGGCCCCTTGCTTCTTGCTTCTTGCCCTCTGCCCCCTTGGTCTCTGCCCCAACAACAGCTGGACCTTGTTTCTGTTGTACTCATATGAATGCAGCGTGCAACGTGAGGCGGCAAGCATTGAAGAACTTTTCGACTTTTGTTTTCAATGGAAAGCCGCTGACTGACTGACACCAAAATCAGCGAGAAACAGAGGCAGAGGCAGTGGCAAGAGAGGAGAGCTGGGCTCCAGCAGCAGGCAGCTCTTTAATTGAATCACAATTAACCCCAGCCCACACTGTATAGGGTTAAGGGGGTAAGAAGGGAGGGCGGATGGTGTAGAGTGGAGAGTGTAAGACTCCCCAATGACATTCTTGTGGCTACTTCTAGCCTCATTTTTGTCATGCCTCATGGGGCTGCTTGAATGCGCATTGGAATGTCACGCAACGGAAGTGAGCAAGTGAGCTCTCCAGGGAGAACATCCCAGGGGGAAGAAGTCTGTGGAGAACACTATAAACAACTGAGAAATGGTGAAAACTTGGATGAATCTTACCGAATCTGTTCTAAATGGGGTTCTAGCAGTTACTTACAGATGTATATCTGGAGAATAGTAATTCTTCCCAGGGAATTATCTACACAAAGATGCACCTGCTGCTGCTCCTGCTCCTGCCCTGCCCTGCTGCTTCTGCTTCCCCTATCAATAACCGAAGAGAATCGAAAGGACAATCAATGGGACATAAATTTCCCAACGGAAAGCGGAAGAGCAGTCTAAAGAGCAGCAACAGTTGGCTGAGGCTGAGGCTGTGGCTGTCTCCTCCCGTATCCCTATCTCTGGGCTTGGGTTCCCATGAGGGCGTTGACGCACAGGCACACACGCACGCACACGCACACACACACGCACACCATGATCAACGTCCGGGGGGAAAATAAGAGATTTTTCCCCATGTACGCAACATGCAGCCAGCCGCATGTGCGTATGTGTATGCGTGTGCGTGTGTGCAACCGTTAGATGATGATGCTTGCTGCTGGTGGCAGCAGCCTGCCGCCTGCCACAAGTGTGTTGCTGCACCACTACCTGATGCTGCCGCCTATCCATGCCCCTGCCCCCTGCCCCTCTGCCATCAGTGTGTTATCTTTTGTCTGTGCGTTAATGATTTTTCTATACATTTCCTTTTCCCATTGTTTTTTTTTTTTTTTTTTTTTTTTGTTTTCGGGGCTAGAGAGAGAGGAGAGAATTATGCAATCTGGCGTCGTCATGTGGCAGAAAAGTAAGCGGAAGTATGCCCCGACTGTGTGCCTCTGGACCGGGCAGGGCCGGGGTATGGTCATTTCTCTCATCCCAATAATGCTCCATACTAGTAGGTATATTTTTCTTGCGATGGTTTCCTCTGCTGTTTACACGAAAATTCAATTAAAAATTTTTAGAAACGGAAGTGGCCGTGGAAGCAGAATCAGAAGAAGCAGCAGTGGAAGTGGCAGTGGCAGTGGAAGAAGCTGCTTGCTGCGGAAGTAACACGGAAGTTGTTAGGTCACTCCTCAGCATCATCATCATGATCCGAGTGAGTCCCACAGAATTCCAATGAAAACTCCCAGAGAGAACGAGAAAGAGAAAGAGAGCGAGAGTACGGAAGGGAGCGGCATCCGATAGCCGGAAGTAGACAAACGATTTTGTTGCTTCAAAAATCAAGAAATCAAGAAATTACTTTGCATAGATTCCAAGATTCAAGCAATCGAAGAGGAATCGCCTCAAGGAAAGAACTCCAACGACAGACACTGTTGGATCCCGTGCCACTTTTGCTTGATTTACAGCTCCCTTCGCTGCCGCCTCAGCTCGCCTTAACGGAAGCATGCCCCGCAACCGCAGCAGGGAGAGAAAGAGAAAAAAAACATTTTCATTCATAAAAAAGCAGAAATTCCAAAAGGAAGCATCGCAAAAGCCAAACAGACAACAGAATTTATAAGAATGTTGAATCGCGAAAAGGGGAGTAAACGAAGCGCGAAATACCCTGGAAAGAAGATTTAAAGGTGAAATTTGTAGAATTGAATGCATGGGCAAAGGGGAAAGTAGAGTAGTAGAGAATTTAAACAAGGAATCCCCTTTTGCCGTGCCACATGGAATGTTTTCTTCTGTTATTCTGAAATTATCTCTCGCCTTTCCCCAAGGCAAACTCCTTTGGAAAACTCGCAATACTCCTATCCACAAGTCAAGGATTGTGGAGGGTATTTCTCAGGGGAAACTGGTTTCTCCGGCAAAAGCCCAGCCAATTGCTGCAGCTGAAGCAGCAACAGCAACATGCAACAGCCGCAACAGCAACAACAGCAACAACAGCAACAGAAACTTCCCCTTATGGTGGCTTGGCTGCTGCTTGATTTTTGCGTAGCTTGTTGATCGTCACAATTAATGATCGTCTACGCACCACACGGACATCCACAAACCACATCCACATCCTCAACCTCCGCCTCGTACTCCAAACCACAATCACTCTCAGCTGCTGCTGCCGCAACGGAACGGCAAAAAGTAATTCATTCATTCATTCAGTCATTCATTCATTCATTGAGCAGCCACAAACATCGTGGCATGGCATGGCATAGTTGTTTGTGGCCTTTTTTGCTGTTGCTGTTGCTTTCTGGCCTTCTGGCAATTGTTGCTTTGGCCAAAAGCAACAGCAACA